TGTAGTATTTTGTTCTTCTGTTGGGTTTCTGGGATCTTGATTGTTATATGTCTAGGTGTAGATTTATTTTTATTGTAGCTACTTGGGGTCCTATATGCCTCACTTATCTGAATGTCAAATTCTTCCCCTCTGTTTGGGAAGTTTTCTGTCATTAATTCTGCAAACAGTTTTTTAAAGTCATTTGTATGTTCTCCTGCTACTTCATGTATTCCTATCAGTCTTATGTTAGTCTTCTTTGCATCATCTAGGAGTTGTTGGATCGATTTCTCATGATCTCTTATTATTTTTAAGAGACCTCTCTTTTCCTGGTCATTGACTGCAATCTTATCTTCTATATCTGAGAGCCTATCTTCACATTCTTTTATTCTGTTGCGTACACTTTCAATAGAGTGTTTAATCTCCTGGATATCTGTTTGAATCTGTTTTATGGATTCCCTTTTTTTCTTATGTTGGGAGTTTATTTTTTCTATTTCTTTCTTATGCTGGGCCTTCATGGCTTCTATCATGGTCCTGAGCTCATCTATTTTTCTGTCAGTTTCTGCTCTAGAGTCTCAAATCATGACTTCCATTTTGCTCACTATCTCTATGGTTATCTGGGAAATTATTTCTGTTTTGAATTTCTCTAGAGCCTGATTGATCTCTTTTGTTACTTCCTGTGCTTTGAGTTCAGGATGTCCTGGTGGTTCACTATCGGCCTTTTCATCCTCATTTGCCCTACTGTTTGCCATTGGTGAAATGGAAGTCTGTCCTTGTGTCTTGCTTAAGTGTTTTCTCATTTTAATTTTTGTTGTCGGACTGTCCTTGGTTTAATCTCTGGGTTATCACCCAAATCTTCCTGATATAGTTGCACCCTAGCTTCTGTGTGTCTAACGACCCACGGACATTCTCATCTTCATAACATCATAGAAAACAGCTCATCAAATCAACGGCAATGCTTTACCCCAACTGATACAATCAGCAACACATTAAGATCAAGCACAACTTGGACACTGACCACCTGTGGTAGTCACTAGTCTATCACCCTTAAATCATTTGAATTAAATTGAAATCAAGAAGCAGTCCAGAACATGTCTGCAGTGAACAAACTTTTCAATATAGTACATTTACCATTTAATGGCTCAGACAGAGTGAGGATGGAAGACCCCTGATCTCAGTTAGTTGATTGTTGAACCCCATGATGCTGACTGACCTCGGGCTGCAAGGCCCAGATTGAGTTCCCCATCCTTCTGAATGGTTGAACTCCGCAACGTTCTATTACAGGTTTCCCCCGCCCTTTCTTTAAAGATGTTCAAAGTTGGGAACTCAGAAAAATACCCTTGATGACCACCTCTGTCTTTGCAGAGTGGGTCCAAAGACTGGCACAGTCAGGAGGTCTGCGAGTGTGGGGGGGGGCTTTTGGGGGTTCAGGGGCATGCTACCTTCCCGGCACTTGAGCGATGGCGGCTGTCAGGAGCAGGCGTGGTTCTCCTTCCCACGGTGGATCGGTCCGGCCTACCTCCTGGCGCTTGAGCGATGGCGGCTGTGTCGGGAGCAGGCGTGGTTCTCCTTCCCACAGTGGATCAGGGCTGGAACCTGTATTTATTTAAAGTGAATTAATTGTTGGCTCTATTAATCCTTCAAACTCCATGACTTCTGAGCATTCAGTTTACTCAGAACAAATAGCATTGTATTTATTTCTTGCGAGACACGACTTCTTCGTGAGCATCAGGTGAGCTCCATTTGGATGACATGCCTTATATCTCAGATGATTCATTTACTTTCAACTTCCCTAGAATTTATTGCTAAAGGTTGATGTGAATGCTTTCAGTTTGGGCTCTAATATAATCCCCTGAATGGCAATTAATAAATAAAAGATGGATACTATGTTTGACAGAAGATCTAGACTTTCTCAGTTTTCTTCTTTCTATTTTCACCAAACTTCATGTCAGACATCCCTAGGGGCTGGTGATATAAAGTATTTTCTGTAAGCTCCAAAGCTTTTAATATTGCTTCAATACCCCCAAACCTTTATGTTGCCTTTGTTTTGTTGTCAGAAATGATCTTATTCAATTTCTGTTTCTTTTTTCCTTATGAATGTAAGAAACATTCCTCTTTCTGGATTGAAAAGTAACATATCCTCAGTCTTTATGCTTGCAAGTACCACCTGCAATTTGTCTCTGGAATTTCTTGCATTTTTGTTCTTGCTTAGTCTCATCTCTTGTCACATTTACTGAATATACACTGTTACCTATAAAATGTAGGGTTTATTGTCATTGTTTAAAATGCAAAGATGTCTCTTCTAACTAATGATGAATCCATGAAGCAATATCCAATTTTTGCAGTTTGCTTGCTTTACTAGGCTTCAGGGTTAATATGGACTAATATCTTTATTATGGGCTGAGGAAAATGCAGACTAGTTTAAGTAACTTGACTATAACCAAATAGAGAGCAAAGACCAAATTTTGCTTTATACAGTAAGGTATGTGATACAAAGAAGAAAGGCTCTGATCAGTTCACAGTTGTATATTTATTAAATGCATAACTTACACAAGTCATTTCAGTTTTCTCATCTGTAAAATACTAATAGTACTACCAGTAGCCCAACTGTAAGGTTTATAGTAAGGATTATATAAGCAAAGCACTTAGACTAATGTTTGGCACAGACAACTCAACTATTATCATTATTGTCATTATTTTGACCATTTTTAACATTTCAGAACAGCCGGAAGGACATGTATTGCTGTTTAACTTTATATGCGTTAGGTCTTTGTTGTGCTCTTTTGGATAGTCCTGTGTTGCTTAATACTATGTTAGGCAATTAGTAGTAGTGTTCGTGGTGGTGGCAGTAGTAGGAGCAAAATTTGTGCTGATTAAAATGAAAGGCTCACTTCCAGTGTGCAAGGCATCAAAGCAGAACTTTAGGAACATAATCCTTAATATATGCTCAATCTATCTGTATTAAAAAATGCCCAGTAGTTTTATTTCCAGAAATGCAAGCATGTTCTTGATGACAGTAATCTCCCTTGTGCCTAGAGGAGAACATGCATATCGGCCCTGGTGGAACAGCTTGGAATATAAAAACAAGAGCCTGATGGATTCCTTCCATCGTTAAAATAATTTCTATGCTGCTAATAGTTAAGTAGCCTAATCTTGTTATTCATAGTTGTGAGACTGGTGCAGGTAATGATGGGGCTCAAGAAACAAAGTATAGGGAGCTGGTACAGGTAAGACAAACCCTAAAAGCCAATTAATAAAACGCTCCTATGTTTTACTTTTGGTTTTGTAACTTTATTTTATATATTTTTAAAAATTGTCCCTTTTTAGTATTTCAAATAGAAATTCATTGAGAAAACAGCATAGGCACAAAAGGCTTTCATTACTTTTTATTTATGTACAGACTAAATAAATTGCATTCACTATACACTAATAGTCACTAGGGTAAACTGTTTAGTCATAGAAATTATGACTGCTAATGTTTCTTGATTTCCAGGTATAAAATGCATTTTATCAATAAACAACCATGGTAATAATAAAAGATACAATATGTGGGTATACCCAAGTGGGTCCTGAGAGAGAAGCCTTATGCTAGGTGTTCTTTGTGTGTGTGTGTGTTAGTGTGTGTGTGTGCACGTGTGTGCATACATGTGTACTCATCTATATAATATCTGAGTGACAGCCTTTCAAATTCACGTATGTGAGTGTATATGTGTGCATATATGTCCATGCATATACATTTCTCTGATAAGATATTTTTAAATATTCTCAGCTCAAATCTTATCACAACTTCCAAAGAAACAAACCAGAGCTCAGAGAAATGAAACCACTTGCACAAGGTCACAAAGAGTGGCAAAGCTGGAATGCGGCTCCTATTCATTTAACACACCCTTTTGAAAAATACCCAAACAGAAGTTATTCTTAGAATGACAAGTATTTCCATTGTACCACACTGCCCCAATATGGGAGGTGTGACCTCTTGACATTTGTTTTCCAGAATCTCCAGGCAAAGATTTTGGTCCAACCCTGGGATTGAAAAAGTCCAGTTCCTTGGAGAGTTTGCAGACTGCTGTGGCTGAAGTCAGGAAGAACGAACTCCCCTTCCACAGACCTTGGCCACATGTGATCCGAGGCCGAGGCTGTAATGAGAGCTTCAGGGCAGCCATTGACAAATCCTACGATGGACCGGAAGAGCTCGATGCTGGTGAGGCACTGTGCTCCCTGAAGTGGCTTCTCCATCTCCTTATTATCTGTGAACCACAGGCTAACATGTGTGCTTAACTACAGAGAGAAATGATTTAAGGATCACAATTATATTTTTGATATTAAAAGTAATTCATTTTCTCGATATGTTTTGCCCTTTGGCTTAATGAACATGGAATTGGAGAACACAATGTGCAATTTATTTTACAGTGCAAATGCTAAAGAAATGTTCTCCTTAGCTTTCCTACAAGGACCAACTGTCATTTACCCTTAGGGTACTAGCACTAAGTATGCATTTCTTGACATTTTTATATGAGTCATTAAAAGCAACATCAACCAGAGGATGACTGCATTAATTGAGTAAAAGCAGTTGGGTTATATTTGTACTCAAAAATCTCCTGGAAAGAAAGTGGTGCTGTTTGTTTCCCAGCATGTGGGCTTTCTGAGTTGATCAAGGTTAACAAGCTAGCTTTCGGAGGGATTAGTGCTTTGTACTATTCGGGCCCTTCATAGAGCCAGCTAAGCAATCAATGGGTCCATGCCCAGCACCATCCTTGAATGTAGTCCTGTCTTCATGGGGTACAAGTAGCCACATGCAAGGGAAGAACTCCACAGTACTTCTGTTCTGGATTTTGCATCTTGACTTCATTTATATACTAGCCATAAGTGCCACTGACTATGCATACTGATTTTTTTCTCTCTGTACAGATGGACTGTCTGAAAAGAGCTCTCACTCAGGCCAAGGGGCTCTGAATTGTGAATATGCCCCTCAGGGGAACTCTGAGCTAGAGGACTTGGAAAACAAAACCAGGAAAGCCAAAAAACTGAAAGACAAGGAGAAGAAAAAAGAAAAGGGCAAGTTGAAATTCAAGGATAAAAAGCAGAAAGAAGAAAATGAAGATCCAGAAAGAAAAATAAAGAGGAAGGGATTTGGTGCCATGCTAAGGTATGGGCCTGCTTTGAAGGCCAAGATGGTTTTGTTTCTCCTTTTACTTCTTCTGGTGAAATCATTGTTTTGTGTGTATTCAGAAACAAGTAAATGCTTTCCCTCATATTTGGCTAAATGCATAAAAAATTTGAAAGAATGGTGGTGTGGGTTCCTTTTCTGTAGAGGTAGAAGGCGCTTTCTTGGGTGGTTCACTGGGATGCAAAGAAATTGTCGTAAGTTCACTGTCTGAGAAAGGCCTTTCTTAGTAGGGTACCAACTTAGTCTAGAGCCCTTTGTACCAAAGTGCTCCCTGTGTGACCATCTGTACAAGAAAGTCCAGAGAAGCCAGGAAGGCTTCAGTTGTTCCCTGTTGAACCTCCCTTAACTGGAGGAGTCATGGTCAATAGACCTCGTTCTGCCGGGACTCCAGGTGTGTGGGTGACCACCTGCAGAAGTACTGCAATGCAATGCAGATGAGTGGGTTTGGATCCAAATGACCCTGCTCTGAGCCTAGGTGCCTCCACACATGAGCCTTGTGGCTTCCCACATTGTTTTATTTGCCCAAGCCTCCTTTTTCTTTCAAGGTGAGGCTGGCATTCCTGCCCTACCGATCCAGTGCAGTTGTGAGATAAGAGTCATCTTCAGCAGCTTCATTGGTTGGGCATGCTTAGCAAGAAAGTCAGAAAAGTGCTATAGTTCTCCTCCTCCAGCTATCTTCAAAAATACTCATTTGAGACTGTCTTCTCCTCATTCTAATATCTTGCATTCTGCCCAATAGCTTTCTGGTCACTTTGGTTAATAAAACATTGTCCTTGTCAGAGACTCTGACAACCAATCCAGTGTAAATCTAAAGTTTCTTCCTCCCTATCCCTCAGACCTCAAGCCCAAAGGGTGCCCTGCAGTGTGGTGGGAGAATGGTTCTGCCATCTCCCGCTTTTCAGTCTCTGGAACCAGGATAAGGAGAAGGACAAGGACAATAGCAAATGGGGAAGGTTTTATTTAAATACCAAATCTGGTGTAACCAGTCATCAGGGGCCCATCCTGGACAACTGCCATGGATTTTTGGAGAGTTTACTATATCAGTGTTAAGGCTCTTCTACTTCCAATGTTGTTAACCATGGGCAAGTTATTTTACCCCTGTGCCTCAGTTTCCTCATCTGAAAAAATGAAATAATAATAGAATCCATCATTAGTGTTAGAATTATATTTTTAATTATATGTTACGCTCAGAACTATACTTGGAAAGTATCATTCAATAGTAGACATAATAGTGGTCCCCTAAAGATGTCTATGTCCAGTCTCCATTACTTGGATATATGTTATGTTACATGGCAAAAGATTGTTAAGGGTGCAGATAAAATTAAGGTTGTTGATCAGCTAACTGTGAGATAAGGTGATTACCCCAGATTTCTTCAGTAAACCCAGTATAATTTGAATAAGTAGGCCTTAAACTTGGAAGAGGGAGAATTGACTCAGGATGTAAAGTGCAGAGAAACAGGGTACTACTGGCGTTGAAAAGAGAAGGAAGAAACCATGAGCCAAAGAATGTGGGCAGCATCTAGTAACTGGAAAGGGCAAAGAAAGGAATTTTCTCTGGCCAAACTTAATTTTAGCCCATTTGCACTGTCAAGACCACTATATTTATGGCAATTTATTACAGCACAGATGGGAAACTAATACAGTTATCATAATTGTATCACTATTTTTACAGTATCATAGTAATTAAAGTAAGGAAAGGTTTTCTCTTTAAGGTATTAAAGGAAGAAAACTATAAAAATAATTTAACTAAAATGTGGTCTATGAATGTAAAAACTGTAAGAGATTTACATAACCCATATCATAGAATATTACTAAGTTAAGACTTTAATTTATATTCTATTTTACATAATATGATTTGGCAGGTTCCTGTTTCCTCGCTCATAATACAGTACCAGTTATTTTGTTGCCAATATCCTGTTTGTTTTCATATAGTAGAAATCACAGGTCTTAAATCATTTAGACATCTAGAACCTTGGGCTTTGTTTCCTTCTCCTGGTTTAACAAAATGAAGAACTGAAAGGTGGCATTTGATTTTATCTTTGGTATAAAAATAGCAACTGTTTTCTATAGTCTTCTGCATCTGAATTGTGATCATACTGGAGTTGCTGCTTCATCTGCATTTTCAACAACAAAGAACACAAGAGCTGTTAGCATTATCCAACACATTCTGCTTTAATTCTCATCTGTTGTTCAGATGCTCTTGACTTAGTTTCTTTCTTATTTAAAAAAGATGGATTGTTCTCAGGTTCTCTTGGAGTTAGATGTAGTTTAAATATGTATTGCCTTTCCAATTATCTGCATTTCTGTGACATCCTCCTGAAGATGGGGTTTGGATATAGGCTCTGCAGCTATACCCTGTACATTGGTGCCTGGAGAAAGGGAAAGTGACAACTTACCACACACACACACACACACTCCTCACCAAATCCTGAACCATCGAAGTGTGGATGTGTTGGCAGTGGCCTTGTTCTGGCTTCTAAAAGCTTGAATGTTTATGCATGTATGATATCAGCTGGTCCTTTCGTGTCAAGAACACAAACTAGTACAGTTTAACTAATTATTAGTTTGACCTCCTTCTAGTCTTTTTAAAAAACAATGGGGGAATCTCTTACATTCATACCTTTCTGCATTTTGTGCATCTAGTTCAAATATTGTTATGTGTTGCTGATGTCAGAATATCTTTCACCTGGTTTATATGTCACCCTAGGTGATTGTGGAAGAATATTGTGGGACTCGGGAGCCTAACCCTGACTGTGGGTTCCTTCCTTGCCGCTGAAAGAGAATGTCTGTGAGCTTAGTGCTTTAATTGTTCAATGAGGTGTTTGACTTCCTTGGGGGCGGTCATACTCTACCTGACCCTGGCCTGGAGAAATGGCACATAAATGGTACCTGCAACCAAAAGGCAGAGCTCAGTTCTCTTCAAAGACAGACTCCTTGCTGCCAGCCACAAGGCACTTTCCTGGGATTGGACACATGTTTTCCAGGCACTGCAGAGAAATATTCTTTGGCTAAGAAAATCTTGTGTGTCTAGAAAAACCCAGAAATCAGTCCCTGCACCTTTGGTATTTTCTAACTTTGTCAGTCCTTCTGGTCTTTAAACAGAGACAGCTATCATTGGCTCCTCTTGAGAATGTAGGCCACTCACTTCAAACACTGAACTGTCAGATCATTCTGAACACTACCTAGAAAGGCTTCAAGTGGCCCAAGTTCTCTTTCTCTATTCCTTTATAAGATTTGGTCCTAACAAGAATTACACCCAGTAAACTCCTTCTTAATAGAATAAAAAAGGGCAAAACCTGCCAATGAAAATGTCATCCCTGGTTTTAAAATTTGTTTGCCTATGTTCATCTGATCAGTGGCATCTGTTGAATGCCTCATCTCTGCCAAGTGCATTCATGATTATCCTTTCATTTACTCAACAATACTTACTAAAGTTTTGTTTCCCATCAGGTGCTATTCTAGCCACTGAATATACAGCAATAAAGTTCCTGCTTTTATGATACTTTCCCATCTTAACAAAAGAAAAAAAACACAAATTTCAGCTTCTCGCGGTACATTTATACTGAAAACAAGCAAAATTTCACATAAAAGTATAAACCATTTTTAACAATGTGTTACTCATGGAATAGAGGGACATTCACCAGGATAACTCAGGGATAAAATTGGTACCTTATAATCCATAGTCAACTTATATGGTACCAAAAAGGACATCGGGCCATGGCTGTCATGGAATTTACATGGCAGTAAAGGGGAGAGTATAACCAACTAACCCAAAATAATTGAGATGCCTTCAGATTGTAGTAGGTGTTGTGGGGAAGGTAAATGAGAAGGATTGGTGTCCTCTCACCCTTAGTAACTGTAACAGCATGACGGAGTATTCAACTGCCCACACTGCCCTGAATTTTCAACAGAAGCCTTATCAGAACTTAGCACACTATGGCACTAAAGCCGATCATTTTGTGCCTGCTTTTTTCTTTTTTGAAGTATGTGAATATGGGATGGTTATTTTTAAACCAACTTCACATGAAGCTATGACAAAAAAAAAAAAACTAACCCAAACTGTATTTAAAGTAAACATTTTACAATGTAAGGCAAATTTGGTTTACAGCTATTTATATCAATTTTGTTCCCCTTGGACCATCATCAGTGGGGGTATTTTTTATTGTTTCCCCATCACTCTGCTAATATGGATATGCCTGGAAGATACATTAGTTCAGTTTCTACTTAGAAGAATTTCTGAAAAGCCAAAATCATTAACCCTAAAGACAAAGATATTTTTAAAAATCTAGAGACATCAACTTGTTGTTTCTAAGCTTTACATATGCTAAGACTTGTTTCCTTTGTTTTATTCTAACATATACTATGTATGTTATTTAAACTAGGGAGCTATGTATCCTGCTGTGAATTGTTTTTAAAAGAACACACACACACACACACACACACACACACACACACACACCCTTCACCAACACCATAAACACCACAGCCACTATCACAACCAAATTAATGCTGAACTTGTTGAAAATCTGGCCCTTACAAGGTCTATGACCTGCACTAATTCCTCTGAGTTTTAATCTCCTTATTGGTAAACTGGGAATCACAACATCCTGCTCAACTTGGGAAGCTTAAGTTCAGTGGATTGTGTGAACAAAGATGTCAGTATGGTGCTTGACTAGACAAACATTATTTCTTATTTATTTTAAATTGACAAGTAATTATACATATGTTATATAACAAGATATATAGCGATATGGCTAAATCAGGCTCTTTAATGTATGTATTATCTCACTATATATTTTTGTTGAGAAACTTTAAAATCTCATCTATTAGCAATTTTGAAGTATATGATATATGATTATTCACTGTAGTCACTAGATGTGTAATGCTTGAATCTATTTGTCCAGTCTAACTGAACCTTCGTGTGCTTTGAATAGCAACTCCCCAGGGCCCTACCCCTTGCCTCTGGTAAAAATCATCTT